AGTTGCGGCAAGGCCGGGATGTAGAAGAGGACAGGTCATTAGGTGATCGTATTTATGAAATACAGACATGTCGATAGGAGCGACAGGTTGGTAGTCTGGTTCGGACTCGACATTGGCATGAAGGAAGGCAGACGAAATGTCAAGAACCGGATGAATATCGGTAACCGGAGGAGTTGATTGAGATGCTGTTTGAAGTTCAACAGAGAAAGTCATGGCGTTGTGAGCGGAAATGGGAGGTCGAACTATTTTCACACCTCTGACAGAGCTAGCGGATGCCACTTGATGAGCTTGATGTAAGGCAGGTCGACGTTTGAACCGTTTCTTGTTCTCATCCTGCTTCATCATCCATTCATCCCGTTTACTGAAATTGACAGGTTGTTTGAAACATTGCTCCGGACTGTGAGGATTTTGAAATGTGTTGCCGACACAGCGATCGATAGTACACTTCGTCAGTTGACTCGGATTAGCATGATAATTCGATACATGATGAGATGATGATCTAATTATAGCCGGTGAGACATTAGACTGTTCTTCCTCGGACATCAACAACTCATGCTTGACTTTCTCCAGGGTTAAAGGCTTTATGATACGATAAATAATCATAATGGTCATTTCATAACCAGGTTTGAGACTTTTAATCAAGGTTCGAGCTTCTTGATCAGTATCCATGCGGCCACCAAATCTCTTGAAATTACGAAGTACAGTTGAAAATTTGTCGATATGAACCTTCAGAGAATCGGAAAGGGATTGAGTCATAGAGTGAAGAGTGTTCTCGGCATGTTTGAGCTTGGCTTCAGAAACACTAGCATGATACGTGTTGAGGAAAGTCCAGAGTAAGAAAGGATCATACTTGATAGACATGATCTTGGTTTCCGGATCCCTGACAGTTAAAGCATCCCGCGCTCTCTCGCCGTTGATACCGTCGCACTTGCCTAAAATCCAAGTAGTGATAATGAATTTTATTTTCTTGTGCTTCTCATCAGTTAAAGAACTATCTCTAAAATCCTTCTCATCCAAATATGATTCATAACCAAGTTGTTCAATTGATTCGTGAATTAATAAATACCAATGATTAAAGTTGTCATCGGTAAGCTCGTTCTTGATATTGAACTTGCTAAGGGCATTGGTGGTACGCTGAATAAAGAGTTGAAGAGGAGAAATAGCATCGACAGAAGAGTTGTCGGTCGACATAGCAGTTGGTGGTAATTTAGAAGAAGATGTAGTGTTTGGAGACAAGAGAAGTGGCTTTAGACCTATAGATTTTCTAACGGTGTCGGTGGATTTAAAAGATTCGTTAGAACCGGAAGAATTTGATTCAGTATCGGTAGGATTCGATTCAGTCGATTCAATATCTTCTTCGTTGGATTGCATAGGACGTCGGATGTAGAGTAGTGTTGAATAAATTCAAGACTCTCGCTACCATGTAAAGTAACGAAGTAAAGAGCTTCAGAGCTTGTATTGGCTGAGCCGTTGGTGTAAGGGAAACCTGGGTAATCAGGTTCAGTCGTAAGCAAAACGGCACAAGCCACACAAGCTAACAAAGCTAAAAGACTTCGAGACAAACCTGGGTAATCAGGTTCAGTCGTAAGCAAAACGGCACAAGCCACACAAGCTAACAAAGCTAAAAGACTTCGAGACAAACCTGTGCTCAAGCAACAGGGTTCGAGTAAGGTAAAAGGCGAAAAGTGAGTAAAAGGATAAAGCAAAAGATTCTTTTCGTTCATTATAAGTATGCATACCTGGGTAATCAGGTTCAGTCGTAAGCAAAACGGCACAAGCCACACAAGCTAACAAAGCTAAAAGACTTCGAGACAAACCTGTGCTCAAGCAACAGGGTTCGAGTAAGGTAAAAGGCGAAAAGTGAGTAAAAGGATAAAGCAAACTAATAGAAAGTAAAGCGAGTTAGAATGATATAGTAAGGTTGATGTTATTAGAGAGAAACTTACAGATTCTTTTCGTTAAGGAAAAAGAATCTGAAGGAGAAAACAACGAGTATATATATTTATGAATAGACCGGAAAAGCGTGACACAAAAATAAAAAGAGAAAACAGTAACTCAAGTCACATGCGACTTATTCCCAAAGTAACCACAATAAAACCCACTTCCATCACTTCATAACCAACATTTATCCCAACTCATCCTAACTTGTTCTAGACTACATAAATCATCATTAAAAAAAAAGCGTTAAGTATCTAGATCTTGAGGACCGTTCACGACGCTACCGGAAGTCCTTGACACTAATTACCACGACAACACTCACATTAATTGATGACAAATTCTCCAGGTGGCTCAGGATGGGCACAACCTTCAATCCTGAGCTTCTCCATTTTTTGAAGTTTCAGCTCGTCCTACTCCTTCTAAACTACTGGTATGATTCACCCTCTGATTACTCAACTCTGCAACTTTAATTTCCAATCCAGCTATTTTTGATTGATAACCACCTCGACCCTTCCCTTTCCTACTAGCTCTACGATCGGGACATGCGCTGGAGATGTGACCCTGGCCATTGCAGCGGAAGCATAAACCCGCTCGCATACGTCGTGCTCGTTCCTCTTCGGACAATCTAACGTAGGCGGCTGATAAGTCCATGGCATTGGGGTCTGAGATTCCTGCACTCGTGCTTAGCGTATGGAAGGTTGGGTTGGTCGCGCCGTGTAATTTACTGCCTATCTTGATAGCTAAATTAGTGATTTGTTCAATTGACGTGAAATCCTCTTGCGTCATAACCATTGCCACTCTAATCTCCTTTTTCAAACCTTGCTCGTATTGACTAATGAGCGTCGGAGTTTCCCAGCCAGTAGAAGTTGCGTGAATGTTAAATTCATGGGTATACGCGGCCACGGTGGTCTTCTGCAATAAGTTTCGCAGCGCGCGTTCCGCCTTCGATTTCTTCTCAGTATCGAAATACATAGCTTTAAAATTTGTAACGAAGCGTTCAAAGGTTACAAGGTGGGCGGTAGCGGGGTCGAATAACTCCTTTGTCAAGGGTTGCGCCCAACTGCTGGCTGCTCCCGTGAGGTAAGACAGCGAGAAAACCACCTTACTTCGGTCGTCGGGGAAGAGGTAGGGGTGTGCCAGCATATAGAGCTGGACTTGACTCGCAAAGATCTCTGCGGGTTCGCCTCGAGCGCCGTTGAATTTATCGGGCGTCAAGACTTTGGGGCCCTTCAGGACCGGTTCAGCTGGTGGTGGCTGTGGCGCAGTGGGTGGTTGAGTGGCTGCAGCAGGTGCAGATGGGCCTCGGGATTCCAACGCCGCTAAACGAGCTTCGGACTGCTGGTATCTGGCTTCAGCTTGTCCTCGCATCAGGCGTTCTTCAGCCAATGAGGTGGAAAGCTCCGCAAGCTTGCGTTGTATGTCTTCGAGAGAGGTCATGTTGGTGTCAGACATATCGATCTCGCTACCGGTAAGGCTAGAATCGGCGTCGAGAAAAGGGATCGGAGTTTCACTATCAGAGTCCTCCTCCTCTAAAGGAGCACGGTAAGATGGAGACGTGGTTGCGTTTGCTAGTCCAGGGATCACAGTCGGGATCGACAGAGTTTTTAGTAAGTAAGATAAGGTTCTGGTGGATTCGGTTTCAGCGTATGCAGATTAGTTAATAAGGTTTTCGATTTCGAATAGTTTCTTGGGTCTTTTCAACTTTGAATTTCTGAGATCTAGATAAGGTTTTCTAATGAGGTCGAGATTCGCTAGTATTCTGAATCTTGAGGTTCGGTTTTCTTTCGATTTAAGTCAATTCTACTTGTTTCTTCTTGGTGATCTATCTATAGTCCTTGAGTCTCGTCTATAGATCCGACAATATGTTATGGACAGACTTGGGGGTTTTTGGCGACGAGGGTCAAGGGAGTTCTGGTGAGGATTTGTATCTATTACCAGTCTTCCTATGTGGATTGTCGGATGAGGGAAAATCTGTACAGGCAATGTATCTACAACTATAAGATGGTTCTCGAGCTTGTGACATGTAATGTGAATATGTCACTCAAGTGAAATAGAACCAGTTCATAACAGCTCTCGAAAGACTGAAATCAAAGGCACAACACCCATAGTGACTCTGATCAAACGACTTCAGGAAGAAAACTGGTTTTACTCAATGAAGCTTGGACCAGATGGCACCGTGGAATCCCTGTTTTGTGCTCATCCGACAGCAATCGAAATGGGTCGTCGCTTTCCGTATTGTTTTGGCTTAGATTGCACATACAAGACCAATAAACACCACTTGCCTCTCTTACACATTGTTGGCTCGACTTGCTTCAATTCGTCCTTCTCGCTTGCTTTCTGTTTCATGAACAAAGAAGATCGCCAGGAGTACACATGGGCACTTGAACAGCTTCACCAACTCCTCCAGCCCCACGCCAATCAACCAAAGACCTTTGTGACCGACAAAGAACAAGCACTCATTGGAGCGATATCCGATGTTTTTCCGGGAAGCAATCATATCTTGTGTATGTGGCATATCAACAAAGCCATCTTAACCAAATGTCAATCTATCATTACAAACAAAAAAGAGTGGGACGAATTTTATGATTGCTGGCATTCCTTTGTAGATTCTCGCACCAAAGATGAATTTCATGCTAATAAGACCCAACTGGTCAAGATTGCTCAGCGTCATTCACACACAATTGTTCAGTATCTCGAGTCAAATTGGTTTCCAATTGTAGAAAGGTATGTGAAGATGTTTGCAAACAATTTCCTCCATTTTGGAAACCAGACAACTTCGCGTGTTGAGGGCTCTCATCACTTTGTCAAAAGCTTCCTTGAAACTTCGGTTCAGGACCTACTAGCTTGCTTCAAAGCTTTCAAACTAGCAGTCAAACATCAAAACACCGAGTTTGAATGTCAGCTATCCAATGAAATTCAACGGACACTCAACAACATCGATGAATGCTTTAGTTTATTACACACCGAATTATCTCAATACGCAATTGGATTGGCCCATGAGCAGCTTATACTCATTGGAAAGCCAAATCGAAAACCATGCACCAAATCATTCTCAACCTCATATGGTATTCCTTGCTCACATCAAATAGAAGCCTACATTGTCCTCGGCCAGCAAGTTCCAATTGAAGCCTTTCACAACCAGTGGCGACTTACTGCTGATCCAATTCCAGAATCCTTGGAGGCCTTGAAAAACGAGTTACAAAGCAAAGCTGAAAGTCTATGTAATCTTCCTGAAAATGCACTACGACGAGCATATGATGAACTCACCAAAGTTCAGAGTGGTCAATACGAGCTTGTACCAGTCAGAGCACCTGAAACCAAGATCAACACACGAGGTCGCCCAACTGGTTCCAAGAAGAACTGGTCCAAGTCTAAATCAACACAGCGAGATCCTTCAGGTTTTGAGTACCTCAAAGCTCCTGAGCCAAAAGCTACCAAACCAAAGGCTCCTAGACCAAGAGCTCCCCCTAAGTGTAGTAAGTGCAAAAGCTCTGGGCACAACAAAAAGAAGTGCCCACTTGTACCTCAACTGCACGAACCGACTTTGGCAGAACTTCAGCTGGATCCAGATGCAGATACACCAATCAATATTACCAATGTTGATCAATCAGCCACTACATTACGTCCTGAACTTGACGATGGCAATTCAAACTTAAATTCTGATAACCGACACAGATTCGATTGGGAAGAAGACAAAGACAATTCAAACTCAAATTCTGATGCCCAAAACAGATCCGATTGGGAAGAAGACAATGACAATATACCAAAATGTCCTTTCTGCGATGACCCACTCCCATCACAGCCCTCACCAAAACTTCACAGTCTGATGCAAATGCTTCTCGATCGACCAAAGGCAAAGAAGACCCCTCGACCCGGGAATCCTGATGCAGTCTCTCTTCCGGTAAGTCTTATTTCGGTCAACCAACACTCTCACATCTCTTTGTTCTTAATGTAACACCAATCATTCTAATCAACACATGTTTAAATTTCATCAGATGTCTGAGACCATCGCATTCTGTGTGATGCATGGTGCTGAGGAAAAATACATCCCCATAGGGAAACAGAATGGTTGGCCTTCATCGATCAATTTTGACGAACTCTCTAGGTATGTAAATAACTCGATTTGTGAGTATCACTGTCATATGGCTTCCATATGGAATTTCTAACATCCATTACCTATTTGTGATACCAGTCGTGTAGAGAAATTTGTCCCTGATCTGCAACATATCATCAATCACCAAATTGACAGCACCTTTTTGAATGGTGCACTGCAAATCTTGCAGAGTCACGGAGCACGTCGAATGGATAGTGTATGGCACGGAGATCTCACATTTGAACTTGAACAACCAGGGTAGTGAGTATTGTTCTTCAAGTCAGTTTCTCATTTGATTCCAAGCTGATGTTGGACTGTAGCTATGGGGGCAGAGGCTTAGAAATCATTTATCAAACACTTCATTCGCAATTCCTGCGCCCCCAAGCTCCGAATCGACTCCTACACGCAAAAGCAAAGCCTCTCAGTCCTGAAACCTGGGTCCGGACAGTTTTGATTCCCGAAGTTTCTTTGAGACTGATCGCGGACGATCTAAAGATATCGATCTCGGATCCTAAAGTTAAAGATACACTTGAAAGCTCTCGAGCATATGGGATGGCTATATTTCCAGCCGAGGATGATCACTTTTGAAATTACAAACATCGAAGGACATCAAAGGACTTATGATGAACTTTTGTACTCAACAAGTCCTTGCACTCGCTGAAAGGAACCTATTGAGGTCTTATACAATCTGATCCTAACATATACATATTGTACATAGAATGAATCGAAATACATAAGGGCCGTTCTCCGCTTTTGCTGGTCAACTTGAACTTCAAAGATAACACCAATACCTATTGATACCCATTGATTATCATATGTGTCATACTCTATGTTGACTGTGCTTGACTGTGTCTACAGTGGGTAAACCCGAGTACGTGTTCCAAGCCAGTCCGCATAGAGGTTTGGGTCCGAAATTTTTGAGAAATTTTTGCCATTTTTTCTGCTTTTTTTGGCGGGAGAGTAACACTACACAAAATGTCATCTTTACCGGGCGGTAAAGAAAACTACTGACATAGAAAAGTCCTGAGGCAACAGGAAGAGAGCTAAAAATCTGAAAAAATATGCGCCTTGTTCCTAGATGTTGGGGCGTCATGACGAGTATTTTTTTGTATTTTACACACAAATATTGGTTAATGTACTAACAATAAAGGCTGAGAATCATCAAAAACCCACCTGTAACAATACCTGAAATTTGGCCCTTGACTTTGAAGACAGGATTTTGGAATCTTCAAACATCAATAACTTTTGCAGGTCTGAATCAAATCACTCGATTTGAAGTGCATTAAAAAGGTGAGCCTTTCCTCTACATTTTTCATTGAGACATCACATCTGTAGCTGGTCTAAAAAAGATCCTACAGAGCAATTCACGCAGAACTGTTTGAACATATGTAGAGTGTTTAAATGACTAGATAGCACCTTACTAACATTATGAAGTGTGAAGGAGAATAGTTCAGCTTTTGAATGAACCAAAAATCGAGTTATTTGGATCAGAATTGCAAAAGTTATTGAGGTTTTTAGACCACAAAATATTGTCTTCATACTCATGACCCAAATTTCAGGTATTGTTACATGTGAGTTTTTGATGATTTTCAGCTGTTTATTGTTAGTACATAAATCAATATCTGCAGGTAAAGTACAAAAAAATACTCATCATGACGCCCCAACATCTAGGAACAAGGTGCATATTTTTTCAGATTTTTAGCTCTCTTCCTGTTGCCTCAGGACTTTTCTATGTCAGTAGTTTTCCTTACCGCCCGGTAAAGATGACATTTGGTGTAGTGTAAGGTTGAGGGGTGGTGTTAGGCTGCAAAACTTTTGGTTTTTTTTGAAAAAAAAGCAAATTTGGTTGTTATTTGCCACTTGAGCAGCCATATTCATTAAATTATAGGCCTAGTGCGCCGCTAAGTAGCTAGATAGGTACCTAATTGAGGCCTAGGTCCGAAAATCCAAACCTCTAAAAGAGTAAAATCATATTTTTGGTCTCCAAAACCATATTCCTAGATTCATCAAAGCAATGCCTTTTCAATGGTCTGGGTGCCAGTCTCAAACATTCAAATTGAGTGCCCCGACATTGACCTGAAAGGTGAAATTTGATTTTGCAGGGCAGGTCGGAACACGTACTCGGGTTTACCCACTGTACCAACTGTGAGTCGATGTAACAAAGCTTGACAAGGGTCTGACAGCAAATTGCTTGATTTTTGGGGCAAACCTCGGTCAAGCTGTTGGAGATCGTAAATCAACGATTAAAGTGTTTGAAAACGAGCCAAAGACCGTACGATCTATTACACTGAGATCTAGACTCGGCGTCACACACTGTAGGCAAGTCGGCGTCAGCGATCATAATCATGACACCCACTTTTACACACTTCATGATGGCAGAAGCCGGCTTCAGAAAGCATCAGAAAGCTCCTGAAGCCTTTACAGGAAGTTCTGGACTGTATAACTTCCAGAGGAATCCGACCTAAGGAAAACCGGTGTCATATGTGATTTCAGGTCGGCGTGGTTTATCAATCGCCTTAAATAATTAAGGATCTGGCTGAGATTTTTCAGCGGAGGAACAAGAAGCGAGCTCTGAGCACTGCTGGTCCGTCAACGGGGCTTTCCGAGCGCCCGATGACCCGAATGAGAGCTTGCTTGTTTAGTAGCATACATGTAGACTCTACAGGCAAACGATGCATATATCGAATGGGTCCGCATGTATCAAGCTTTATTGCCTCGCTCGCGATTTTGTTTTTTTCCTCGAGACCTGAACTTCTACGATCAGAAATCATCAACTTCCTGAACCAATACCAATATCAGAACCAATGGCAAAGGGCGGAGGTAAAGGTGCTTCGGCAAAGGTCTGTCTAGATCCAGTTTTGTAGGTTCGGTTTCTAGTCCCCAAAGTTGTTTAAAGTTTTTGGTATAGGCAGCTAAATCTGCTCACGAAGCCGAAGTGAACACGAAGAAAAAAGAAGCAGCAGAAGCAGCAGAAGCGGAGAAATGGAGTGATGGCGCTAAAGGAAAGGTATCTCGATGCCATTGACATTTTTTATTTTCCGAACCTGATCTCATGCTGACAAATTTCTGCTGATGATGTGAGGTCGAACAAAGGCCGGTAAAGAGGAGAAGGCCGCGAAGGCTGCTGCAGCCAAGGCTGCCAAAGCTGAAAGAGACCGTATTGCGTAAGTAGATGCAAGGTTTTATTGCTGGTTCGAGATGTTGATCAATGACTTCACTCTTGTACACAGTGAGGAAGAAGCAGCAAGCATCGCTCGAAGCGCTCCAAAGCCAAAGGCTGCTCCATCCAAGTCTTCTAAACCAAAAGCTACTTCACCTAAATCAACTGCGTCGATCCCAAGCGAGGTTCCAGAGTACGAAGCGCGCGGTATTGTAAGCCTATCATTGTGCTTACTCATCTGAGATTATTGCGTCGTGATTCGAAGGAGAGTGCTAATGCATTTCAAATTCCAGGACAATGTGAGTCTGCACTGATTTCAAGTGAGAACGGCGGTCCATCATGTCAACTGTAATATGGCTGTACTCTAGATCTTGGCCTTGTCAGAAGTAGTCCTCGAAAGAAACGACAAGGCAAGTTTAGGCGCAAAAGCTGCTATAAGTGTCGATGCGCATCCCGAAAGAAGATTCAAAGCGGCTTTTGAGGCTTACAAAGAGACAGAATTGCCCATCGCTAGAAAGGAGGTTTGCATTGTCAAGTTTGTACACACTTATTCGTGTTCCTCACTGATCCATACTTCTTTGCTTCTAGCATCCGGGATTGAGACTTCAGCAATACCATGATTTGCTCTACAAGCAATTTCAAAAGCACCCTGATAATCCTTTCAATCAGACTGTGGTTTCTTACGATGCCACCAAGGAGGACAAAGTTGCGGCTTTGAAGTCTAAACGTAAAGAGGTCGAAGAAGGCTTTGCGAAGAATTGAGGTCAAGGACAGGTTTGCAAGATTCCCGTTCTTCAATTTTCTAAACCTGGTAGAAAGTGTTGAGTATAGCTTGCGATTGCCCTTTTGTCTCCAGGTTATACATAGCTGTTCTCTCAATTCCAAATCCGATACCTGAAGGTAACTCACAGATCAGTAGAGTGGTGATCCATTATTCTGATCACATTGCTCCTTCGTGATATTCGATCACTATTCCTCACTGAACTCTTTGATAGCTATAGTCTTCGAATACAATCCAGAATAAGTGGCTTGAGATAACAGTGCTGGTTTTACCCTTTATCATTGCACAATAATAAGTTCTCTACAGGAACATTGTGAGGAAGGGATCGCAATTGCATTCCTTCTCAGCATTTCGAAGCACGCTCATCAGCGCTGAAGCCCAACAGACCTGAAAGCGCCATGGTGAAACTTGGCTCATGAAATTTCCTCTTGGAAGTTTATACGAGATTGAGAGACAGTCGAAAGCTAGCTTGGTGGCTGACGTCCTGTGGCCAAACTTGAGCTCTCAGTCTTCCCATGTGACTCGATCTGACAATCCAACCGCTGGTGTACATAGTATCTGCGATCCCTGATGATGAACAAGCCTCCCCTGTTCGCCTTTCGTGCACCTTCGAGAACTATGAAGGCGTTATCCCGTTCAAATCACCACTCCAGCCCTTCATGGACAAAGGTTCTGGGTCTAAATTACATACCCCGACCTCAAGTTGCGCTCACACCAGATAGAACATAGAAGTTAGCTCAGCAGCCTTAGAATCGGATCAATCGTTTTGCATATAATCACCAGGCTTGTCGCTTCTGACCTCAAAGAGAGTGTACCACATTCTTGCAACCGAGGTGCTCAGCGATTGGGTAGCCGTACCGTGCGAAAAATCTTGTCAAACTCCACCCCACCGCTTTGAGTGTCGACACATTTTACTTATAAATCTTGTAGAGGCCGGTTGTGATCATGGGAAATAAACTCATAACTCTGTTTATATATTTACAAATGTACATCACACTTCCATATCAATTCCAAAGGTTTGTCATCAAGGATACACGTTTTAAACTTCAGCTCATCCGGATTTAAAAATTACAATCGAAAGTTTGAAAAGCGAAACATAAAATATGTATCGAGGTTGAAAGAGACTACAATCGAAGTCTATATTAGACGAGTGAGACAAAGAGATCAACTAACGGATCTCGTAAAGAAACACACCAAAAGAAGACTTTCATCTTGATGTGGGTATAACAAGACAAAGGCGAATAAAACATCATGTCAACAAACGATCCAGTACCGGAATGTCCTGCACCCTTTGTTCATGATTGGGCTTCAGTCAATCCAAACACATACCCATACGAAGTACCCGATTTCTGTAAACGTGCTCCAATTCCTCCTTCAGTCCCTACTACTTCAATACCATCAACTATGAAAAAACCTAAAACTCCTAACCTCTTCTTGCCTAAACCCAAGATTCTCAAATCCAAACCTACTATGATCGATAAGACTACGACTTCAACAACTCCTACCAATGCCAGAACAGAGGACAAAGACTCTGAAAACGTTTTGACAGTAGAAACTGAAATCAGAAATGGTGATAATGGTAATGGTAATGGTGATGGTGATGGTGATGGCGATGAAGATGATGATGAGTGAGTGATCAACTCTATAGAAAGTGTTTCACTTTGGAATTGCTGATCCTCAATATTGTATTTATTCGTCAGTCCGTGGGGCTTAGGGGCGCCATCGAAAAAGACCAAAAAGGTTTCCACTACTGCATCTACGACAAACAACAACGAGCTACTTGGAGAGGACTCAGGAGCATTCGCGCCCCTCCCACCACCTCTTGCCGATCCGTCTCGATCAACTGCAACCGAACCTGAAAAAGTGGAATTCGAAAGTAATTTAAAATTCGATCACAATTTACTCGAGACAATTGTTAGATCTGTCTTACTTTCTAAAATTTTACTCGATTCGCGTCGTGAACATCAAAAACGTGTTTCAATTTTAAATTCTTATAAGTCTGATACAGCTGGATCACATCCAGATCATTCTCAACTTTATGAAACTTATTTATCTCGAGCTGTTGGAATTGTAGAAAAAATTCAACTTCAACTTAATAGTTCATTAACCTTTATTGATGAAGATATTAAAACACAAATTCAAGAATTTACTATCAAGCATGATCAAATGCTTATTTCACCTGGTTCAACTAACTGGGATCCTAAACCGATTCAAAAATGTCAAAATTCATCGAACACTAGAGTTGCTCCTGTAGGTCAAGACTCGGATTGGGGATCAAGCGTTAAACCGATTGATAATAATCCGATCAATCAAAACTCAGAATGGGGATCGATCAATAAGCCAGAAAGTAATCGACCCGCACCAAACACCGATTGGGGAACAGATATCAATGTTGCAGGAGGTAAATCGATGACTAAGAACTCAGATTGGGGAGCTGATACTGGTGCAGGAGGAAATTCGTCTTCAGGTTGGGGTTCGACTTCGAATAACAAAACAGAAATACCTCCAAACAATCAGTCTTCAGATTGGGGCGCAAACACGGGTGCAGGAAGTAATCCGGTGAATGGAAATTCGGATTGGGGTTCTTCAAACAAGACGGAAGTTAATGGCTTCAATAAAAAATCAGACTGGGGGGCAAGTGGTGATACCGGTGGTCAAAATGCAGGTAGAGGATCAATCAATGGGACGGGTACTAACGCGGGTGCGCAAGATTCGGGTTGGGGTTCAAGAAGCGGAAGAGGTGGGAGAGGTGGTCATCAGAACTCGAGTTGGGGATCAAATGGTGGATTGGGCGGCGGTGATGGTGGCGGTGGAGGCGGTGGTTGGTGCTCTGGAGGCGGTGGCGGGAGCGCAAGCTGGAGTACTGGAGGCGGTGAAGGAGGAGGAGGAGGCTTCGGGTCTTCTGGTCAGCGAGGAGGGAGGGGATTTGGAGGTAGAGGTAGAGGCAGAGGCAGAGATGGGTTTGAGAATGATTTTAGTCAGGGCAATAACAGAGGTAGATTTGGGGACTCTGGAGGGGATCGTGGTTCTTTTAGTGATCGTGGGTCTGATCGGGGGCGAGGTCGTGGTCGTGGAGGTGGTACTGGGGGTGGATCAAGTTGGTCAAATTCAAATAATAATGATGTTAGTGAAAGTACGAGTTTTGGATGGGGTGGAGATGATAAAAGTGCGAGTCAAAAGCCAGCCAATAACACAGTGACTTCTGGATGGGGTGGGGATGATAAGATTGCAAGTCAACCAGTCAACGATACTGATCCTGATGCTGCGAAAGCCGCTCCTGCTCCTGTTGCCGAAGCGTTTGATTGGGGTGATTGGGCTTAAAGGGATTAAATTTAAGATGATATTTCTCGATGTCAAGTAACTTTTTGGAATGTTCCACTTTGGTCTTGTTTAATGAAAATATTCTGTTTTGACCTGTCCACGTGTCCATGTTTGAACCAGTCCCTCATGATAACTCTCAAGACTGAGGGTAGGGGATGCCCACTGAAAAAGATCATCGATTTTTGAAACAAAAAGTTGTGGTGGGCATTGAGAGGAACAAGCATCTTGCAAGAGCCAAAGTGTTTCAAATCAACCGCGATTGTGAAGTTACACACCATCGCGGTACATGGTCCATAACACACTTTCAATTCGATGAATGCCACTGCCGAAACACGTGATATGTACTTGCTTCTTGTCAACAACTCTCAACTACTTGCCTGCGTCCCCGTAGTTGCCGTTCAATGCCTCAATTTTCCACTTTTACGGCTCACTTAAATATCCCATTCAATGATTCTGTATTGCTTCTTAGAAAAAACCATGTACGGAAGGAACAGGAGAACTTAAAATTAAAACCACATGATCTTCTTCCGTTTAGGTGACACGAATATTGCCTGAAACTCTCCCCTTTTCAAGGTAAACTTTCTTTACATCACAAAGGCGGTGACATCGAGAACACAAAACCAGTCGTGTTAAGAAATATAGGAATAAATATCCTCATTCTTGCAGAGTTGTGTTAGATTAAGATATCGGAACAATTCCACCAGAAAGTGTGTAAATTGAATAAGCACCACTTCTGCCGAAATCGCTTGGAAGCTTGATCACGTCGGAAGGCACCCTATCAACGTCACATATAATCCGGATCGCTATCTGAAGTGGAAATTTCAAGGCGGCTTGATTCACTACTGGCAATTCGACCCTCAAAAACGACAATTTAACATCACTGATCAAATTCAACCGTATCACGCCACTCACTTGCTTGCCAGCCAAAGATGAGATTTTCTCCAATCCTCTCGATGATTTTCTATGTCAGCACCATTCACATTCGGTGCAATCCCACTGTTACGGGTGACATAGAGCGCTTGAGGGTTATGGTGATCCCGTACAGACACACAGATCAAGGGACGCAAGTCCTACTCTCGTTCCCAAAGAAGTCGGGTAAAGAAAGGGGGTATTGTTTCCCACGCGGGAAGCTGGATCTGGAGGATGTCAATGATCTAGCTACTGCTGCCCGTGAATTGAAAGAAGAGAGTGAGTTGAGATGATTGTTTTTGCCCCCTGTCGTTCTTGATGTATTCATTCTGTTGATCACGTGACTCATCTATGTTGCTGGTTAGCTGGTTATGAAAATGCTCACTTCTCGAATGAAATGTACAATTGGGAGGAGGAAAAGCACGCAGAAGAATATTACAGGGTCAAAACTTTCGTTTATCTCGCCGAAATCGAGGAAAATGCCAAACCCGGAGATGGTAAGGATGTGGGCTCCCGCACCAACGTGTGGTTTCATATAGATAAGGTCCGAGACAATTTAACAAACAGACTCGATTCGGTGAAAGCCTGGGAGGTATGTGGGGATAAGATTCCAAAACCCCCAGAAAGCTCCAACTCAGGTATGTGACCCAAACTTAACCATCTTTCCTTCTGAACCGAGAAACGCCTGTTATAATTGTTTTGCCAAAACCTGATCACTTTTGTCACGTAGATCAGAGAAGCTTGGCATGAATTCCCGGCCAATTTGTTTGACTTTTGTGGGCAAGATTGTCTAATAGTTTGAGATCTTTGAGTCTTCATTGCAGCACTTAATTCCCACAATAGATTGCAAAACAACCAAATCAAGAAGTTGGTACAATAAATACAGAAATAATAAAAGGTACATTGTAGACAATAATCAGTACATACCAAAAAAATCAGCACTGGTTTGTACTTGGCAATTATGAGTAACTTAAGGATTAATGGATGATCCCTACTATGTCTACAATGATAAAAGTCAATACATATATTTGGTATGCTTTATAGCAACCATCAAAGGCTTCTAATTTACCTAATAACAATAGCTAGGTAGCAAGTTCCTCCTGCAGTTAGTTACAATCAACAATACTGGTTGTTGTGCTGATCTTGTAGTTGTTTGTAGGTTTAGATATCTTCCATGGGCAAGTTGAATAGTGGAGAGATTGATAACAGAGCAGTTTAGAGAGATTAGATGAGTTTGAACAGAAACTGGGAACAATAGATTTAACAAGAGACTAAAACATTTAATAATGAAGAGAGCACAGGAGCTTTTGGAACTAAATGCCTTTGAGAACACAGTGGCACTTTGAGCTAGCTGCAACAACCCAACCACTTCTGATTCTATAATTCATGATTTGATATGCTTAGACTTCCTGCAGCATTATTTCCATGACAACTTGCCAGGGATGATTTCCACAGATGAACCCAGCTTTTCTGAATTGGCTGTACCTCTCATAGAATACAAAGGTGAGACAGAGGAATTGGGCAGTAAGCTTGGGCGGGGGAAATAAGTCAAGAAGTCAAGAGAGATCCATGAAGGAAGTACCTTGAAAGTAGATAGCAAGTGACATCAATCTGATAAACACATGAAGTCAAATTTTTCAACTGGAATCATATAAGACCAAAATTGGAAAAATTGCACTTGTTAGTGTTATGTGAATGTCCAGTGTTACTGAAGAATGAACTCCTTTATTTTAGGTCTTGATAAGTCCTATAGTAGGAAAGAGTTTTTACAGTCATCAATTACAACACCGGGCAGTCTTTGAGCAAAAACAAGCTGCCAGAGTGCAATCACAGGCTACATGAATGTCACCAAGCAATCAACTTCCTGGCCCTCTACGTCCCTTCCTGATCACCTGCAATGTTTGAGCCACTCAATCTGATTCAACCTTGGTATGTCATCCTTTTAAAACCTTCTGATTTCTCCAATCTTTTCGGGCTGGCCCGGAATTTATTTTTTGCATCTGTAGATCACTCTACTTGGCCTTAGGGTTTTTATTACATCAAAATTCTATTACTCTCATTTGTAGCTTGAGCTAGTGCTTAGTGGTTTTGAATCAGCTGTTTTTCATTTTAACTTTGATGTGATGTTGTGATCTGGTATTTGTATCACATTTTGTGTTATTTTCACTACCCTCACTCAGAGCGCACTTGGTCCTATCAAAATTGATATTGATCTATCTATTCATAAATAAATGACTTGATACCTTGCCTTGCGTTTTTCTGAGATGGATAACTAGGAGTAGATCATTTCAAGATCCTCTCATCAATGAGCCTTCTGTTTGAATGATGTCAGAAAGATATACAACCATTGACCTTTTCAGAGCGCTCCCCATAGATTGAGTTCATTCCTATTGTCAAAGACAAATATCTCCAATGTGTTTTCTTGGGATAAATCAACAGAAAAGAGACAGTGTTGAACATACTTTCAACAGTTAGCCTTTTATACAAGATGGTCATTGTTGCTGGCTCCGGAGTCATCCAATCCAGCTCAATAAAAATGAATGCTTGAATTTGGAAGGATCATCTTACCCATCATGGCCGGCAAACAGCACCCAAATCTTGTTAGTCAAGCCTGTCTTTACAGCTGGGTTTTTTGAACCTGTTCCTATCAAAAATACCTATAACACAACATTGAGAGCTCCATTGGTGGTTCTCCATTCCACGGCCAAGAAAATATCCAAGAATCATCACTGTATTGCTTACAAACCTTAGGGCCAGTTTGGCTGTTTTTCCCAAGAGTTGTTACACAAAAACAACTTTTCATTTTGCCCCATTGTCCAGGGGCAAAATGAAAAGCTGAATTTTGGCTTTTGCGTTTACCAAACAGTTGACCAAAGAAGGTCGACAAAAGATCATTTTGATCATTGTTGACCTTTTGATCACTGTTCAACTGTTCAGTAAAGATGGTTTGAAAAGACTTTTCAAGTCAAAACTTGAAAATCCATCAAATCATCTTTAAAACCATGGATCACGGTCATCAATGACCACAATCGTTTTTAAAGAAGCTGTAAAGTGTTTAGTCAATTGTTTTCTTAACTATTTTGCCAACCAGATTTGTTCCTCTCAATTCATTATCAAGTCATTCTTTCACATTTCAATCACCAAAAAAAGAGACAGTCACTATTACATTTGTATCAGCATTGGTAGAAAGGAACAGTTGAGTGGGGAAGGGTGTTGTGTGGTTGATGGGTGTTGAGTGGGCAGTTCAAAAGTTGAACAAGGAGATGGGGCAAAAGTCACTTTTTGTCTCAAGAACAGCTTCAAGGCTGCTTTTGAACATGGACAAACTTTTGACCAAAAGTGCTTTTTGATTTTGATCTAACGAACTTACCAAACGCCGGTGTTTTTGACCAAAATTGAAAAGTACTTGTGGTTTTGGTGTAGCTTTTGGCCAAAAGCTACTTTTGGGTTTCAGCCAAACGGGCCCTTATCTGTTGGGCAAGGACCCCGGAAAGCTCCAGGTGAACTATCCGACGTAAAATGAATGGATTGAGGGTCAAAAAAAGGCTAACGTACCAACAAAAAAGGTATTTTTTGGGGGTTTTTCAAGCCAAAATCAGATTTTTGGAATTTAGACCTACCGATGTGACAGGTATGGATTTCTCCTGAGTTGAAAAAAACACCCAAAAACACTGTCTTTTGGACGTACGTACCGACCAAAAACAAATGGATTGGTCTCCTGGGAGATTTTTAGCGATTTTTGCTCTTTAAACCTACCGACGTAACCGGAATTGTTTAAGCTTGATTTTTGGGTTTTTCCCGCGTCACGGGGTATTGAAAAGGTCAATTGGTGTGGTTTTAGGTTGGATACTTTCCGTGGAGCTTTCCGGGGTCCTGTTGGGCACCCAACTAAGAGACATCATCTTTGAAATACTGTAACATCACAGAGGCAAGCGTGGTATTACCAATTGGAATGATGTATTACATACATCATCACAAATGGATACCCACGGCACTTAACTAGATTTAGACATAGAATTAGTAGACTCATATATTCCTCAGAACGCCACATTGATGGACTGGCTCCTTAGGGAACTCAAGCCTGATCTCGTATTACATTCCTTTGGAGCCAGGTTAGCGCTTTCTCTTCTTTCTCTTCTTTTATATTATTGTTATCTTTATTCTTGATTATATTTGTTAGCCCTATAGAGGGAACTTGAGACTGATCTCATATTACATTCCTTTGGGGCCAGATTCTGGTAACAATATCATCACACATACATTGGCTCTAGAATCTCCAAAGTCCCTAGTGGCATCATTCCCTCCTGTTCCTTCCGTGAGAAATACTTCAAAGTGAGGACATTACAAGTCCTTTACACCAATCACAAACAATGAATACTTACAATACATTTCAAGCATGATGAATTACACATAAATTCTGATGGCCTGGACGTGCATCTCTCAGACATGTCATGTGAGGATCAGCTTTAGATGGGAATTTTTGAGATACAAAAATCTCACATCTCTCAGAACTCTTCCTTCCTCCTTCCTACTCTCTACCACCATTTCTTCACTCAGCCCACAAAAACCTATTCAACTTTTTGTGAAGCCTTGACACTTTTCAGAATTTTCAACCTATCCATCATCATGAATCTTATGAACATCTTTGGTTCATGTTTTTGAAAAACCTCCTTAGTTTACTTCCCTTTCAATTTATCTTTTGTCAGCATTTTACTCTGTTTCACTGGCAAAATCTTTTCCCCCAATGTTGCAGAAAAGTTTGTTCTAAAACTCATTGCTCAAGACTTACCAATCATTATATCCTGGGCTATTTTCTTCACACACACTTTATTCATACTTTGACATCCCTCCAAAGAAACCTGCTCCCAAAACTAAAAAAAATATTGAACTTACTCCTCAAGCTCCAAACCCCCCTGTCCCTGTGTCAACGCCGCCACCTTTACTTTACCATTCTCAGTAAAGTATTGGTATCGTGAGTTTCAGTACAGTATCCAACCACCGATACTTAGTATTGGTATTGGCGATACTGTACTCGCCAGGTACAGGTCAGGTATCCTGTGACCCGATACCGTACCTGGTAAAGTGCCGCGGATGCCAATACTTTACCGGTCAGGCACTCGGGCAGTACCCCAGTATCTGACGGTATCTTTCAGTATCGACATGTATTGACTTATAAGTTACCTCCGACACCGGATTTCACTTTGACTTATACCCTATTTCAATTTACACCTATTCACACCTCCACACCCCTTGCTTCGTCCTTCCGTTTCAGTATCATCTAGTTCATTCGACTTCCATTTTGGTCGACGTTCCATCATGGGACGTCTAACCTCATGGGCTTGACCGTTTTTAGCGCCTTACGTAGTGATGGAGGACGCTATGGTGCCTTTATTTGACAGTTTCAAGGTCCTAGTAAGTGACTATTTCATATATCTCTTTCCAAAGTTGACTCTATCTGACCATCTTCTCAATTCGATTACATTTTTATCATCATCTTCACTTGCTTTTCCTTTTTCCAATACCCCATCTCAGTATCAGAATCCTCCAGTTTCAACTGCGGGTTCCAATATGGCCCTAGGCGTTGCTTCTAATCAACAAACTACCCCTGTCTTGACTTCTGATGAACCATCCTCTACCGTACAGGCT